TGTTTTGGGGGCGCTCCCTCCCGCCACGAATAGAGCCTCCCTCTTTGCTCCAGGAAGGGGACTTCGGCCATGGAGACCTGTAACCGCCGTGGGGCCAACCCAGCCCGGCCGACGCCGAGCCCCGCCAAGGTGAGCGGACACTCAGGTGGGGTGGGAACTGGACGGCCCCCTTGGGGGCGGGGGCGTGCTCTGCCACCCACCCCTCGGCGGTGATGAGAGGGCAAAAGCCTGAAGGCTAAATCTGGGAAAACAAGTATCCCAAGGAAGGAAGGAAGGAAGGAAGGAAGGAAGGAAGGAAGGAAGGAAGGAAGTGGGGGCCTTTTGAGAATGCCTCTTGCTCTGGGGTATGGGGTCAAATGGCCAGATGTCACCTTATTACCTTTTTAATGGGCAACAGGTGAAGAGTTTGGACAATCTGGAGTGAAACCAGTGTTAAATGTGACCGTTTGCTGTTTGGATTAAGGCAAATCTTGCTTGATGCTCCTCTTCTGGTCTAGAGTTTATTTTATTCTTTAGGGCAATCACGTTGCCCTGTAGCTGGGCACATTTTTGGATTCCAGCTCCTAGAATCCCCCTGTGGGTGAATCGCCCTGCAGTAACCACGCTGGCTGGAGGATTCTGGAAACGGCAGTTCCTCCCTCCCCTGAAGCGCTTTCTCTAACCTCTAGCCAGGGAAGCCACTGCCGGAAGGGCACAAAGCAAAGGTTCCCCCTTGGATTCCTGGGCAGACTCGGTAGGTTGGTGGCTGAGCCCAGAAGGTGGGAGGAGGAGAGTCAGGCAGGCTCCCTAGCCAGAAATGGAACAAAGAAACACTCAATGCTCTTTACAACACGAGAGGAAAAGGGGGGCCGTGTCGATGGGTGGGTGCTCCACTGAAGCACCGGTGGCCCCACCTGCACCCCGAGGGCCGCCACTCCTCCTCCATGGCCTCCTGTCCTCCCTGGCTTCTCGCCCGAGGCCCGGCCCTTGCTGCCACCGGCTGCTTAGAGGGATGGATGGTTAATCCCTTTGGGCTAATTGGCTTCTTCGCGGATCCTGTTAGAGGGAGCCTGGGCACCAGGATTCTTCCAGGGTCAGGGACCGCTCCTTCCTGCCCCTCCCCTCCTGCATCCAGGACTCCCCTTTACAGGGCCCCTTCACCCTCACCCTTCCTGCCACCTTGGGAGGGTGGTTGGGGAACCCACCGCAGGCCCTCCTTCTGGCTATGAGAGCCCTCTTCTTCTTCTTCTTCTTCTTCTTCTTCCCTGTCCGGCAGAGCGGGCTGCTGGACCTGACGGAGACCGGCAAGGCCCTGAAGGTGCAGGCGGAGAAGCCCCACCTGGTGAGCCTGGGCAGTGGGCGGTTGAGCACGGCCATCACCCTCTTGCCTCTGGAAGAGGGTAAGTGTCCAGGGGGTGGGGGTGGGGTGTGGGGTGTGGGAGGGAGGGCAGNCTTACCAGGGATGTGGTTCTCTCTGCCCGGCCCCTTCTGGAGGGCTCGGGGGGGCCCTCAACCCAGGGCCCCGGCTCCTTTGGCTTCTTTGGGGCTGGGGCTGTGCCCCCCCCCAGTCCTCCTTAAACAGAGGATCCACATGTTAGGGTGAGGACAGCATCCTGCTGAGTCCCTTCTGCCCATGTCTCCTTGCAGGCAAGACGGTGCTGGGCTCAGCCAGTGGGGATGTTCTGCTGCAGGGCCCTGGGGTGGCCGCCAGGCATTGCTTCATTGAGAACATTCAGGGGACCCTCACACTGCACCCCTGCGGCAACCCATGTGCCATTGACGGGCTGGCCATTACCCGCCCCACTCGCCTTTCTCAAGGTAAGGGATGCCTCACTTGGCTCATCTCTCTCCCTATCTCTCCCTCTCTCTGTGTGTGTGTATCTGGTGGTCCCAAGACTTGCTGGGGGAACCGTCAGTTGCAAATGCTCCACATGGGTCCCTGCATCAAGTCAGTTCATCTCACAGTCAGTGGAGTGGGGAGAGAGTTGTTACAAAAGAGTGCATGCCCCATACCTGAGTCCCTTGCTGCCTTGCTTTTTGTTGGGGGTGGGGCGGTTGGAGGTCTTCCACTGCTGATAGTTTGGAGGGTTTGCTGCTTGACCCTGCTATCATGAAGCAGCCTAGCAGCACCCCCCCTCCCTGCTCAGGTACGCCAGGGGGCCGCTTTCCAGCCCAGCCGATCCGTTTATCTGCGCCCGTCTCTTCTGCCGAAGGACCGAGCCACCCAAGACCCTGGGCTCAGCTACAGGGCAACGGTCTCCCTGCTTTCCATGCACTTGACCTCCATAGGTCGGTCCTGTCCTGCCCTTTCCCCACAGCTGAGTGTCGCTGCAAGCTGCAGGGCAATTGTCCGGCAGCTGGAAAGGCCAGGGCTGCCTGCATTGGCCAGATGGAACTGCAGCTCCGTGTCTGACCAAGCAGGATCCATCTCTCTCTCCCCCCCCCCATCTGAAAGGATGTGCCCACCAGCAGACTTTGGGGGCTTCCCGGGGGGGCAGTTTGACATTGCCTCTAGTGATCCCCCAAATCCTGACGGAGGCAGCCTCACCCTTTCTGGACTGGGCAACCAACGGAGCGAGCTGCTGCTCCCTGCGGGGGCGGGGGGAGAGACCAATCCTCCGGCTGGCTGTGCCGCTTTGCCTCGGGGATGTCCTCCTGGATCTGTGGCCCTCTTTGTCCTCAGCTGCCAAGGAGGGAGGATCCACCAGCACAAACAATGGGGCGCCTGAGGGGCAAGGGAGGGAGGGAGGGAGGGCATCTCTTGGGCCTCCTGGGTGGGGCAAAGGGAAAAGTGCTCTCTCTCTCTCACTCCCCCACAACCCTGTCCTTCCCCCCCCCACTGCCAGCCGCCATGTCCGGCTGGCATTTGCTTCTCCAGGCATTCCTGCCTGAGGCTTGCCAGCCACAGCAGGGAGCCTGTTCTTTGGCTTGCTGGTCTTCCCAAGAAGGGAGGGAGTTTGGTGCCCGCCCCACCCGTTTAGAGCTCTAGCCCGTTTGAAAAGCCCTGCCGGCTATGCTGCTGCCAGGGCCTTCCCGGGGGGGGGGCTCCTCCTGCACCCAAGACCAGCGGGCCAAGGGTGGCTTCCCTTTGGGATGCCTTCGCTGAAGTGAGAGAGTTGGCCAGGCCTCCTGCACCCAAGACCAGCGGGCCAAAGGTGGCTTCCCTTTGGGATTCTTTGCAGGGCTGTGGCCTTCGCTGAAGTGAGAGAGTTGGCCAAGAATGTGGGACGGGGGTTTGGTGCACTCCTCCAGCCAGAGAGCTGCGTCCTCCTTCACTGCCTTAGTCACTTGGACCGTGGTCCGGATGGGGCAGAATGGCAGCCCTTTTGGCCTCAGCACCTTCCTTCCTTCTTTCCTTCCTTCCTGGAAAGGCTGGAGGTGCAGGCACAAATTCTGGGAGACCCTCAGTAGTTCTGAAATGGAGTTCTGCAGCCACACCTCTTCCTCCCCACAGGTGCCAAAGGGGGCAGGGACACTTTTTACATTTTCCAGTCACCTCCGGGATGCTCTCTCTCTCTCTCCCCCCCCCGCCCAAATTGCTAATTGCTACTTTTCTCCTGCTTGGATCAATGTATCTGTTAAAGCACATAGACAACAAAGCTTTTCAAGGTGCCTTTTCGATGAAATTTCCCAGAAATTCTCAGCCAGTACATTGGCTGGAGGATTCTGGGCGTTGTAGTCCAAAACACACCCACTTCCCAGCTCTGGGAGAGATGTCCAGGCAGCCCCTCCCTCCCTCCCTCCCCGACCCTGCCCTCCCACGCTGCCTCCTGTCTTTGAGAGAGCCCCTCTAGGCTCTGCCTCACTCTCTCCACCCAGCGCTCCCTCTGTGCTCCTGCACCACCGATCGCAGGGTCAGATTTTCCAAACAGGCTGGGTTTCCTGCCTGAATCACATTCCTTCTCTGCCAGTGCCCCAGCCAGACAGTAGAAATCTTTCAAAAATTAACAGCCACGTGGCCTCCCTGGGCCAGGAGGGGGAAAACCACTGAGCTACTTCTCTCCATGACGGAAGTCGATCCCAGCCAGGCATGGGCTGACACCTCTGTCCTCGCTCGCTCGCGCACCAGGCTGGAGAGAGCCAGAGAGAGACACACAGATGTGCTCAGAGGGATTATCCTCCCCCACAGCACCCCTCACTGCACACCAGGCTGCTAAGCTGTGAGCTCGCATGTGGGCAGGATCAAGCCAGCGATGGGGGGAGAGGCAGCAGCTCAGCTGGTCAAACCTGCGCAGGTTGCCCTCCTTTCCAATCCATGCCGCTGGAGGCTTCTTCCTTGCTCAAAGCATTGACCCTGCGTCTTGAGGAAGCTTTCCCTTCAGTGCCGGCCACAGAGGAGCTGAAGGATCCCCTTGCCTTGTGACTCCCGAGAGGAGACCATTAGGAAGGGCTCGTGTGGGGCAGAGCAGGCAAAGCCAGGTGAATGGGGTTCCCCCCCCCATTTCCGGCTCCTTCTAGCGGCAGCTGAGCCCAGCCTTGTGCCCCCTCTCCTCACTGCCCCTTCTATGCTTGGATGGTAGGGCCAAGGCCTTATTAACCCAGAGCAGCCCCTGGCAAAGTGGGCAGATTTTGAGGAACGGCTGGGAAAATACCATTCTGACACTGGCTTGTCTTCCTAGAATCTCTGCTTGGATTTGCTGGGGGGAGTGTTCCCTCCTGGGCTTAGGTTTATGCAGATTTGGCTGTGGGCTTCAGCAAGAACTGGTCTAGGGTTTCAGCTGCTCCTCAAGCCCACTGGCACTGGCTGGTCTTCCCCTTCCAGTAGCTTGTTGTGCTTCCCTTGTGCTGTTTCCACAGTTCTTCGGCTTGCTCCAGCAGGTTCCTTCACTGAGTTACAAAAAACATTCAGCATCAGGACAGCAGAAATAGCAACTCCCTACAGTATAATACTAAAAAAAAATTAAGCTGCATAAAACCAACCAGCCAGGTAGAGGTGGCACAGCCACAGAGAGAATTTGCTCAGGAGACAGGACTTCAGCCTCTCTGGGGAGAGAGGCCCCCTGCACTTTGGGGCTGCCAGGGAGTTGGGAGGGGCCCCAGGAAGGGCTTGGCTTCCCCTGAAGGGAGAGGGACTGCTTGGTGGCTGCAAAGGGTGAATGGGCCAGCGGTGTGGTCCCAGAGCACCCCCAGGAGAAGGGAATGGCAAACTGCTTCTGAATACGCTGGTTCCTAGAAAACTCTGGAAGAGGTCATGATTCAGAACTGGCCCGTGATTACTCCAAAGGAGGCCGTTTGGCCCCTTCCCTGTTATCCTCCTCTGGATTCCTTCTGAACCAGGCAGGCTTTACCATTTAAGCTGGGTGGCTAGAAAAGGGGCTCTTAATCTAGGAGGTGTTTACTTCAAATTGCTTAAGCATTTGCTATTAGTTAATTTCCTTTCCTTTCCTTTTTCCTTTCCTTTTTTTTTTTTTAAGACTGGTACTTTTAAAATTCTTTTAATTGTTAGTCACCTTGACTCCTGCTTTGGGGAGAGATTTGAGCTAAAAGTCTCATGAATAAAATGGACAAGGTACCAGTCGGCTACTTAGGTGTGGGAGGGTCTCCCTGCTTTGCTTAGGGCTAGAAGCTGGATTCTGTTCTCTGGGCTCTGACCCTTGCAGGTGCCAGCCAGCCTTCCTTTGTGGTCTGTGTGTGTGTGTGTGTGTGTGGGCGCCCGCTTGGAAAACTTCTCCTGGGCTTGGGTTTGGTCTTTTGGACTCTTCTGGGGAGAGTCGTGTGGTGGACACCTGTTCACCCCATAGTTCCTTNNNTGGCAGCGCGGTGGGGTGGGGAGGTTGGGGTGGATGCTGATTTCCCCCCTTTCCCTTTGGGAAGCAGGATTGTAAGGGAGACCCCCGGGAAAACGTCACCCTCCCACCGTCCTCCCACGCTCCAGTCTCTTCGGGCAGGCTGACCCCCCTTTTTGACCCAGAGAGTGGCTTCGAAGTTGAGGCCTCCGCGTGGCCCCCAGGGGTGCGCAGACAAGGTCACGCTCCTGCCTAACAAGGAGCAGGCCTCTGTCGGGAGCAGCAGCAGCCTTACGCCGCCGCCTCCTCTTCAAACAACCGGCAGGCACGAAGAGAACCGGAGCCTGCTGGGCAAGGCGCCTGGGGCTCCGCTGCTGCT